CCTTTCTTTCCATATTTAGGCAAATATTTACAGTAAATATAATAAAAATAGCTTTTCTTTTCAAACATTATTTCTCCATTCTCTGTCAATGTCAACGCTTACGTTGACATTTTGGATAAATCCAGTTATTTGCCTTCTGCTCAATTAATATATAAAGAAAAGCAGTTAGCTTAGCATCATAGCAATTTACTGCTGTTAAGAGATTTATTGTTATTTTCTGGACAGAGCTGTTTAAAAAGAAATACAGGTAAACAATACACAAAGCACAGAAAGATTATAAACGTAAATAAAATAAGCTTTCTTCATACGTCAGTGGTCTGGTTGGGTCGGTCGAATAATACAACTCCGTTTTCCAGACCAGTTAAAAGCGTGTTGTGGTCAACAGTGGTGAAAGCAGAGCCTCAATCGAGCAGAACTAAAGCAGGAAGGAGTTGTGTGCGATGGCTGACACCAGCATTGAAGCTGCTCAAGGATGATTCACACGAGGAATTATTTTTGAGGTGACAGACTCTTTTTTTAAAAAAGGGAAATTGCTCTGAAATTGAAAAGAGACGCCTTTTTTCCTCTCCAAAGTTGAAGGATTTGTGGGGCAACAGCCTGAAATACCCCTTTCAGGAAACAGAATGATGTCTGATTGCGTGTGAAGTGCATGAATTTAAATGAGACACTGTGTTCTCCGAGTCGAAAGGGGACGGATTCAGACGGCGGTGGGTTTGTGTACCGAGGAGCAATCTGCAGCCTCATGCCACCTACTTTATGATTAAAGTGGTGCAGACTTTGCTCTCTGCAGGCGGCCGGGACTCAGGTGGTGGAGCTGCTTGTCCGCTAATCGTAAAGTCGCTGGTGTGATCCCCGTTCCCTCCATGTGCAGACGTGCAAGTTGCTCCTGATGGGGATGAGGATGTGTGTGAATGTAGACGCTAGGTGCTACATGAGGGGGGACCATTTACCAGTTTCTCACAGGAGGCCACCAGGTGTTGACTGGAGGGAGGACTGATTGGATCAGAGGCTGTGGAAACTACATGCAACCCAGACAGAGACATGCAGGTGGCTCCTTAACCGCATCAGGAAACTTTTAATAATCTCAAAGCTCCTTGAATTTTTTATCCCAGGGCAACAGGTTTATTAGGATTAATGGTTGTGATATTATCCTGCACGGTGGCTCGGTGGTTAGCACCATCGTCACTGGTTGGCGTCCCGGTGAGGACACCCAGGATCTTCCTGCGTGGAGTCTCCATGTTCTCCTCGTGCAGCGTGGGTTCTCTCCGGGTCTCCCACGACCATAGTGAGGACGAAGCGGTGTATAGATGATGGATAGATGGATGTTATCCTGAATTTCTGTGCAGATTCTGTCAAACTTAGTCCTGAGCCTTAAATGTGTGCTGAGCTGTTTCCTGCTGGAGCTTCATATTTAATAAACAGCTCTATGAGTGACATTAAGTGCAGCAGAATTTTTACATGAAAGTCTTTTTTCTTGTCTGCATTAAGACGTTATATAATCTCACACCACTTTCTGTCTTAGGTGCGCTCGGCCGTGAGGAAACGGTGGCACCGCTGGCAGGACAACCACGCCCTTCGGGTACGAGTGGCGCGAGCCATGTCCATCCCCACGTCTCCGACCAGGATCAGCTTTCACAGCATCAAACAGACCACAGCTGTGTGACGCGTAATCTCCACCGCAGCATGTAACGGGGACAGACTTAAACCTTTGTATTCACCACAGACGTGGAGGTGATGTGCAGGACTGACTAATTCCTCTGACCGGGCCGCCATGTGTCCAGCGTGACGGACGAGCCGGAGATTACCTGGTGGCAGAATCCACTTTACCTGCACATGAAGTTCATGAGGTTCTCAGAGGATTCATTTGTTCTAATATACATGAGCTGCTGTTGTTTTTTGTTTTTTGTTTTTCTGACAACTGGTGTATTTAAAGACCTGAAATGGCGTCCTCATCATCATCATATCACATCACAGCCAGTCTCACGCTGTCCTTATGACTTTCATCTCGCTGGTTAGTGCTTATTAGAGGAGAAAGATAATCCCACGGGATTTGCAGTACGATTTCTCAACAGCCCGCTCGTACGAGCAAACCACTCCACTGTTTCTTAGAGGGAGCGCCAAGAGGTGTACTTGAAGTTTGATTGACTGCATTCACACGTTGCCAAAAAAAAATAATGATAATGAGTCAACTGCTCTTCGACATCAACGGCTTCGTCTGACAGACAGGAAAGAGGCTTTTAGGAAGAAGATAGCTCACCTGAATTAAATATATATAAAAAGCTATACAGAAAAGACGCTGCTCTCTGTAGGGAAAAGAGACAGGAGATAATTTAATGTCAAGTGAACAACTGGTATTTGTCAAAACACAATCCTATTTCAAACGAACAAGCGAGGAACCTTTATATGAGCCTTTTTATTTAAGTCTGTGACACTGATTTTGTTCTGGTCCTGTCCTGTACGGTGGTAAACAAGGTTAAAATACTTGTTTACGTGATAAACCTCCTCTGTTTGGTTCCACCACTGATTTTTTTTACACCCTCCTTGTTAGACTTGACTTCTTTTTATCTCTTCTGGGAAGGACGGCGTCAACACGAGGAGCAATTTGACGCCGTTGTCTGTTTGAACTTGAGATGAGATTATATGAACCGCTGTGTGGACCGAAAGCAGTTCAGACACATTTACAGTATATCATGTATACGTACGCAGGGATTTGTGGTGCAGCCGCAGTGGGAGCAGATTACATTCTTTTTGGCTTTATGAAATCCTTCGGGCTTTCTCGTAATCAGTGTCACGACTAAGCTTCTGGTTCAAAACGAGCGGCGCTTGATGAAGTGAGAAACCAATTGCTTCCCTCAACACTTGCCCTTGTCAGGACAACATATACGGGCCGCCTGTAACGCCGGCTCTTCGGCCTCCTCGGGCTGCTCACGCAATCATAATGGACACGACCCCGCATCTGATTTGGCAAGACCTCAAAATAGTTTGGTGTTCTGCTAGAGGGGAGAACAGGGAGGTGAGATATTTGTTTTGAAGTGGATTTTGGACAGTAAAAAACTCAGATGCTCCTTTGTGTGTCCCCTCGATAAAAAGAGGATGTTTGTTTTGTCAGATTATATGATGAAGAATGTTAAAAGATCTGTTTGACATTTTGGGAAATACACTTACTGGCCTTAGAGATGCATAACAAAACCAAGGTTATATCTGTTTTTTTCAATCATAATTCTATAGTAGGTGTTTGTGTTTTGTATTGGTTGAAGAAAACAACATGTTTATGCTCCCAGTGAGCCAGTAAACAGATGTTGTTCCCTTCAACAGGCAGCAGCTCCTCCCCGCCTCCGGTTATGATCCAGATAAGCATATTCCCCAAAATATCAAAACCAGTCTTGAAATGAATATTGTTACTGATGTTACTTTGTTGTGTGTTTATTTATGTGCTATTTATTTATTTATGTTTATTTTGGAGAAGAAAAAAAAAAAAAGGTTTTGAAGACTGTGAATAAACGTGTTTGACGGCGTTGTACAGAACAGAAGCTGTTTCATCACCTCTCGATGTAAAATGTACATTTCATATTTGGATTTTGTAAAGTTTTGTTACGTTGCAGCAGACATTTGTTTATTCTTTTTGTCGACGTGCTGCCTGGCCGGGCTGATGGCGAGCCGGCGTATTAATTATTGATCACCCTGTAGCGACTTTGATGTAAATATTTTACCTCCATTTCCGCAGCGTCACAACTCTTGTGTGACGTTGCACAAACTTCCATGACACCAAGGCACAGGAACACAAAAATACTAAATTACATTACAGTCGTGAAATATTTTCATATTGAAATTTTGAAAAAAAAAAAACATATATTCAAAGTCACCAAAGAGACAAATTATGTTTACCGACATACAGATTTTATATTGTCTACTCATTTCTATCGTTGCCATCGGACATAGTTGATTAAATCTTGTCGACTTTATTTTCTACATCATTTGCTATTTTACTGTACATGACGTGTATTCAACACAGTTTGATGTCAGACCTGATTTTATGGAAAACGTTGAACCACCCATGTTGCCTTACGAACAAAAGGAAATTGATTTTTTTGTGGAAAAAGAAGCTCTTGTCTCTATAAATGACGCATCATTGTGTTACTGACATGACGTGTACATGTGAAAGAAAAACAAAACGTTAATTTGAATTAAAATCGTACTCTTGTTTTGTTTCTCTCTGGCTTTTCATGTTAAAGGAGCATTTTTAGAGGGAAATGTCAACAACAGTGATGGGTGTAGACGGAGGATATCATGCATTACTCATTCGTACTGGGCAATCTGACATTAGCCACAGATTGCACTAATGGGATCGGTTTAGCTGATTCATTTGCTACTTATCTCTTGTAAATACAGCGTGACTCAAACAAGTATTCCGATGATGGAGTGGATGACTGCAGCTTCACTGGCACTCTGACTTGTCTGACTTGTAAATATAGTTTTTAGTCATGGAAGGGACGATGCCCTGAGAGGGAGCCTGCTAGATACGGTTTCATACATATCAGGCTGGGCTGCGGTGAAATGGAGCAGAAAGCGCTGCCTGTGCCCAGAACCCTCAGGACTCGATAAGTTATACATCCCCAAACAATCAGCCAGGACTCTGATGCAGGCTAATAAAGGCTTGTTGTGGCAATTAGTGCTTCTGATGGCTGACAGCAGCTTGAAAGGCAAATAGTAGACGTCGTGCTCCCCAGTGCACCAATGCCAGAGGCGTGCATCACATTTGCACTTTGTTGTGGATTATTTGCCCTGAGCTCTCTTGTGTCTATATTGAGCTGCGTTTCACCAGTCATTTCCTCGGCTAAAAATAAAAGATCAGCACGACAACCTCAGGCTGTAACTGTAACTTCAATGCTATATACATTGAATAAATAATCTGTAATGTAATATTTCTAGTCTTACGTCACTCAAAGGTCCCATTTGGTGAAAATCCATTTTAATCGTGTTTGTGTGTCTCATAAACTAGGATGTGCAAAAGTTCCTGCCAGCTTTACAAACCAGTAAGAGTTTTACTGTCTCGCTCTACATTTGACTGATCCCAGTCCCAGTGGTTACGAGGTGAGCCTTCAGGATGAGCAGCTGCTTCTCTTTGCCCTCAGGTCCTTTCTATCCAGAGCCTCTTCTGCTGCTTCTAAAATATCTCAGCCACGGGCAAAGCTCACCAAATGTTCTGCTGTTGACTACAAGAGTGAACACAAGAGTCTTCATGCACTCCCAGCATCTGATGATCTTGATTAGGTGGTCTGAAACCCTTCGGCTGGAAGCTGCACCAATACAGAAGGAGAGGCCAGAGAACATGCTGGGACTCTGGATGTCGTCAGGACTTGCTTGAAATGGAAGAGGAGTCAAGATAAGGTTGCGGCTTGACCGGTCTCTGTAATGAACTGAGGGCAGAAAGGCCAACAATCCTGAGATTTCCTGGTTTGTATACGGCGTACTATGGATTTGTAAGGGTTTGAGTGTGAATCTAGTTTGGAGTACATGATGGGTGTTGGATTACCTGCTTGACTGGTTTGACTTTGAGTCTTCAGAGATGCAGGAAAGTCAAATACAGGAAGTGGAAGAGGTTCCGTAGGATGGCAGTCTGGATCCAACTTGGCTTGTCGGTCAACTTCACAATGGACTCTGTGCGTCGCAGGAACCAATGACGGCCAATAGACACGTTGGTTCTAGAGTGCTGGCGAGAGGCTAGAACGTAGGACACTGGAATTTATTACGGAGGGAGTAAATGGAGTCAGTGATATCGTTGCAGTAGCCTTGGAAGTGTTCAGCTTGGAGGTGGAACGGGTTGGAGACTGACGTGAGGTGCCGCATGAGAGGCATGACCATGGAAGAGTTGCTCTGACTTTTGTTTATAAAGACGATGAGGGTGAGGTTAGCGGGGGGAACGAGGATGGATTTTTGCTTGACCATTCATGGTTCTATGAGAGGGTAGCGATAACGGTGGGGTAGATTTTTGTAGATGGCTAAAGACAGCTGGAGAGGTTTTTGAAGAAGATGCAAGAACTCGGGAGCCTACGGCACGGAGGCCACCACTGACCAAGAGACCGCCAAAACTGGCAGAAGGATCATGTCTGGAGAGCTAATTGCTGCGTGGGGTCTTGTTCATGAGTGACGGACGAATGGAGCATGAGATGGATGGGTGGTGTGGCGCTAGCAACAATGTGGGTACTGCACTGGACCATCAAGCTGAGGAGGGCGCTGAGCCAGAGGGTGAAGCTTTTGGTTTAGCAGTTGATCTACAGTCCAAACTCCAACCTGTGGTCATGGGTACCAGCAGGTTCGCTGGGCGTGGCCTTTCAGGTAAGGTGAGGAGAGATGGGGAGAGTTGTTGCTACTTTGACTCAAGAGGGGGTGTTCTTAATTTTGATTTAGATTTTTTTTTAAATTAAATGGGCGGGGCTACAGGTAGCGTGAATACGTCACGCCTCAGCGTCGTCCGGATACAGGATTGTTGTGGTCACGTGATCTGTCAGGAGTCGGACTACTCGTCTAATTTTGTTGTCAGCGGTGACAGATGAAGTCTTTCTCTTCCTGCTTCCTGAAGACCCAGACGGTCCGGTCGGATGGTTCATGTGGAGGAACATCGCCGGAGGATCGTTTCCGGGTTCGGCGGGACGGTTCTCTAGA